GCTGCCTTGATGCATCTACACTTTGGCATACAGGCTGACCTGGCCGGGGATTATAATGTTGTGCATAAATGTGTATCTATTGTTCTCATTTGCAAAAGTTAAAGAAAAATACTTGAGTTGCCTAAGGGGAAACCAGCATGCCAATAAACAGCAAAAAGCCCTTCAATCCTTTGATCAGTGAATTCTGTATCTAAATAAAATAATTATTTCTTTCATAAAGTGTCTCCGTTCGCCACTGATAGAGAGAAAACAGAACAGAATGTCCTACATAGCCTTTAAATGACCAAAGAGAGAGATCAAAATAAAAATAAATCTTGACCCGATTTATAGGTGCACCTTGATTAGTTCTTGTTTTTTCCTTCAAATGAGCAATACCTGAAAAAAATGAAAAGGGAGTGTTGAGCCCAGATATCTTGTAATAGATGGGTTTTCTCTGACATACAGTACGGTACAATGCTGAAAAAATGATACTGGCCCGTCATTCGTGAGGCTCACCAGCAAAGTAGAGCCCAGAAAGAGAGAAGGGGATTTTTTAGGATGCAAAATGGTACAACCACTTTGCACCATTTAGGATTTGAACAAACCATCATTTTTTTACCTGTACTTCTCAAAGTCTTGTTATGTTGTGGTATTTCATTGTTTTCTCTACACAACTGTTTCTTTGCTTCAACTGATAACAATTTTTTGATTCAAAAATTCTAATGTTAAAATCAAATGTTCATTCAGATATAATTCTGGTGCTGGCTAATGAGAAATTATATCTTATAAGAAACGTGAGGCAACTGGAATTGTTTACCCACTAAGTCATCACTTCCCTTTTGCTCCTCACATCGTGGGTAGAAATGCCAGTCAATAAAACTGAGGATTATTATTTTTAAAAGAGTAAGAGTCTCATTTTTCTATAAACCACCTTTTTAATGAAAACTTCTTCATTTCCCTCAGGCAGCACTTTATCTAAGATGTGTTTAGCCAGTTGAATAAAAATACCTGTTAAAGGAAAGAAGATTCCCATCAAAGCTGTTGAAATCTGATTTCATTTCAGATTCTAGAACTAATGTTGTTTTTTGTTTAAATAGATTTTGTCTGTCAATTTCCAGACCTGCTGTGCCACCAGCCTGTATGGACTGCTGTGGTCAACACGGGGGTTGTAGCAGCAAATTTTATTATGAACTGGTAATTGAATTGAACAGGTTTACATTTGAATAGATTTACTACATCATGATCTCTGACATGCTACATGGGACCGAAATCCCTCTCCATCCATAAAGATACATTTAAGACGTTATCATTCTCTCCAGGCTGAGAAGGCAAGTCTTGAGCCAAGGAGATGGCCAAGCATAATTGTGTATTTATATGCAGGGTGTAATGCTATATTTCACTGCATTTTTTTTTAAGTTCAAAGAAAAAGAATATTCTATATTTACTTAAAACCATTCCATCCTTTCTAGTGGGGGGGATAAGCTTAGAGAACTGACATTTTCCCATCCAAGTGGGCATAAGGAAGTAAAGGAAAATAAATTATTATTTGAGTGTATCAGCAACAGCAGCAATTCCCTTGAAAACAGACCCTCTAAAGGCTTGATAACAGCAACTGAAGAGGTGTGAATTACAGATAAGCATAGTCCCACTCACTTTCACCAACAATGTTTAATTAAACACAGTTCACACTTCTTCAGTCACTCTAACCACCCTTCAGGGTTGCTCTTGCTTGAAAATCACAATGGGGAAAATTATTTAGTGGATATTTTTTCTACTTCTTCCTTAAACCCGGTAGCACAAACGGTTGAGTAAATTACAGCAGTGAAATCAAACTGATCAAAAAAATTCTATCTACCTGGACATGGAGGCATAGCTCCACGCACTTTAGTTTTTGAAATAAAATCCAAATCTAGGATACATGACTTCAAAGGTTTTTTTTTCTTTCTTTTTTTTTTTTTTTTTAGTGAGGAAGATTAGGCCTGAGCTAACATCCGATGCCAATCCTCCTCTTTTTGCTGAGGAAGATTGGCCCTGGGCTAACATCCGTGCCCATCTTCCTCTACTTTATATGGGACACTTCCACAGCATGGCTTGAGAAGCGGTGTGTTGGTGCGTGCCCGGAATCCGAACCCGAGAACCCCAGGCCGCTTAAGCGGAGTGTGTGCACTTAACCACGTGGCTGGCCCCCAAAGTTTTAATTGAGATATTTATATCATTTAAAAAAATTGATTTTCTTTTGAAAAATAATGAGTCCTCAACTACCAACTCTTAATTAAGCCTTTTTGAGCACAAATTTAGTTTGAGTCTCTACAGCTCAACTAAGTGGCAATATGAAGACCAAAAATTGACTGTCAATAACTGATGATTATTATCGCTTATATTCTGAAATACGTTTTGTTTGTTATTCTGCTCTAGGGTTTAAGGCAATTACTAAGATCGAAAAAGTTTTCCACCTCGAAAAAGTAACCCTCGGGGGGCGGGCCCGGTGGCGTAGTGGTTCAAACTGTACTTTTGGCATTTTTCATATAAGCTTTCTCTAGCAAGAGCAACCATATGGGCCTTTGTCGCTGTTGCATCATCAGAGCCTAGAATAGTGCCTGGTACCTGGGAAGAACTTAATAACTATTTAGCAAATGGATTGTAAATGTAAAACATAACTGTGAAAAATCCTAACAGCACCAAAGACGGTATGGTGAAAAGGGGAAGATTACCCCATCCTCACTTTTATTCACCAGTGTAACACCATCACCAATCTTTATCCTTCCTTCCACGGCTCTATGCACATACCATTGCACTGTATATCTGCTGCCTTCCATTCTTTCTCCTTTCTCTCTCTCTCTCTATATATAGATACACACACACACACACATATATATATAATGTTTTTTTTTTTTTTTTTGCTGAGGAAGATTTGCCCTGAAATAACATCCGTGCCCATCTCCCTCTATTTTGAATGTGGGAGGCCCACCACAGCATGGCTTGATGAGTGGTATGTAGGTCTGTGCCTGGGATCCAAACTTGAGAACCCCGGGCAGCCAAAGGGGAGCAGGCAAACTTGAGAGCTTGTTTGGAGGTTCCAGCAGGGGCGCACAGCTACTCGTATACCCTTGACGGGAGAACGGTCCTCCTCTATCGGGGAAGGTCGTCCTCTTCGACCCAGCATGCAGCTTCGCGAGGGACGCACATGGAGCGGTGAGGGAGGAAGGGGACACCCGCCTAGCCAGCCAGATCAACCAAATCAACCCTGGCGATAAATGGGGTGACAGATGTCCCGGCCAGATCGCCCTCATATCTGGAGCAGGCAAACTTAATCACTACACCATGGGGCTGGCCCCCCTCTCTCTCTACTTTTTAAATATAAATTATTATAAAAATTTTTATTTAATATAAATTTAATATAAACATATATTTTATATAAAAATATACTTATATATAAATTGAATCATACAACTTAGCAATTTGTTTTTTATTTTATTACTTGGCAATTTTTCTTGGTCATCTTTTCATAAGGCTTTAATTATAAAGTTATACGCTTATTTGTTTACAGCTCTTATCAAGTGGAAAATGAGAAGAATTTGAGAGAGTCTTCTTCGTTCCTAGTCAAGGGACGAGTTACTTCTTAGCGGACAAGACGCAGAGAAAGACAGCATGAATTCCACGTACCCAAATATAATCTGATCCACTCATCTTCTTATAACATTGTTCACAGTAAAAATCTTAGAATAAGAGCAAACCAGGAAGAATTATCAGATTTAGCAATGCCACACCTAACTGAAACTCAGGTTCTTTCTGGAGGAATAAAACACTGGGATCTATCTGGGTTTAGAAGTTAAAAAAACACGTGATCTCCGGTAACAACAAAATGTACCAACTCACAGCGCTGACCCCATGGACAAGAATATTCTATGACTTAACAGCTATACTTTTCAATATTTTATTTAGCTAATTTTCTTTCAAACTTCAATTACGACGTTTTTACTTTGCTACTTTATAAAACTACCATATCTGTTTTAAACTCTGGCAAATTTTTGGAAGAGAAGGAAACAGTAAAATCTAAAGGCAGGATGTAATATACACATCTACAAAAGCACAGACATGTACAGAGATACATTAAAAACAAAAAACTAAACTAAATCTAGGCCTTCCAGAGAAAAGAACAATTTCTCCCTATCTCCTAGCTAAAATATTAGTTTTACTAGACATGTTGAAATACACAAATATTTCAGCACCTTTGATATCGATGGAGGAGTTGAGTGAATTCTAGAATCTGACTATGTGGGTTCCGTTCCTGGCTCCCCCACTTGTTAGCTGGGTGAACTTAAGCAATTTGTTTAGCACAGAATACATGTCCATTGTTACTATTTGGTATTTGTGGCTGTTATCCCCAACTGAAAGTAAATGGAAAACAATTTTAATATCATTATTACAAGCTCTTTATAATAGAAAATAAGTCCAAAAGATAAGATTAGGAAAAAATAGAGTGCTTTAAACCTAAGATTAATTAAAACAATGGTAGCTATATGAAGTGATATATATGTTAATTAGCTGGATTATGACGATTATTTGACAATAGATATGTATATCAAAACATTGAGTCATACATTTTAAACAAATACAATTTTTAGTTGCCAATTATGCCTCAGTAGAGATGGGAGGAATCTCTCTGTGAACCAAGTAATGAGAAGAAAAGCAAAAAGACAATGACAGTAGCATCTTGGCTGTCCTTCATCCTTTGCCTTCTGCAAATTGTGCAGATGAAAAGACCAGAACTGCCAAGCATACCTGGTGGGTTTAGCTGTACATCAGACGTGTCCTACCTTGTCCCTTCCTGTCGATGTCAAGCAGTTAGCCACGAGGTATCAGAAAGTTCAGGTGTAAAGAAGGAGTATTCTGCCATTAGATTCAGGGTACTTACTGTTGCCCCATTTTTTCCTGGTTTCTCTAACATTTTTGTGATTCTCTGCACACGCCCTCCCCCCATTCCCCACCCAACGCACAGAGCCACTGGCAAAGTGCCTTACCTTCCTTCAGCATGCCCACTTTCAAACACTTCATGAAGCGGCAAGCCTGGCAGGATTTACGTCTGCGCTTTGTGATTTCACATTCATTCGTGGCAGGGCAGCTATATTCTATATTACCTAAAACATAGAGTTAGAAGAAAAGAAGCTGTTAGATTTGCAAGATCCAGGAAATATTAGCATCTCCAGGCAATGCCAACTCTGTTACTGCTGCCCCCTTCCCTCAAAAAAAAAAGTCACGTGGGATTCATGAGGATGTTGCACATGTCATGAAGCGGATGCTCTGCTGTCACCACTGAAGATGCATTGAACAAGACGACGACGTAGGGTAAAGCTTTTCAAAAGAGAGTTTAAGATTAGCCTTTAAAACGTTATGCTTAGTCCACCCACACAAAGTAACAGTCTTTCAGAATCTTAGGATCCAAAAGAAATTTCAAAGCAGACTATTTCCATAAAAACATAAACAGCAAAACTGTATTCTTGTATCGTCCACCTTGGATGTCTTTTGGCTACGAATGCTCTGATGCATCAGCCTTATTGTCTTTCTGACACTGAAGAGTATAAACCTCACTGTGCAAAACAATCAGCAGGCTAATTTGGGACCTGGCAGTAAGCTCCTAGAGGGCAGGAACTGAAGTTACATGGTTCTTCCTACCACACTTACCAGAGCCTTACAGCAGAATTCTATGCGTGGTGAATGCTTACTGATGATGATGAAAATGATGATCATGTTTGTTACATTACCTGCATAATGAATGCTAAACACTCCAGCTCCATGGAAGTGTTATAAATAAGAACAAATTGCTATGAAATTATACTTTTAATATTAGAGTTTACATTATTTATGGTAGTACATGAACATTTTACATAAGGATGTAGCCAGAAGAAGATCCAAACTTCAACTCAAAATTTTTTCAATGAGCACCCATGACAGTGTGTGGGATGTGCTCTGGGGCTGCCTACAGCTTTGTAAAGAAGCTGCCTTTAAAATAAAGCCTCTCTCCCCTATCAGCTCTGTCACATAGTGCTTGGAGGTCTTTCGTTACTTCCTAACCCTTTCCCCTTGTGATTAAGTGCATTAGTATCTTAATGAAAATGCATTCTGTTTATTGCCCTCTTGGGAAGGAGGAGGTCATCACACCAAATGCATAAATTGTCATCAGAGACGGTCCGAGCATAATTGCAATTTTGCTGCTCCATATTTGTAACACTCAGGGTCCGTCCAAGTCCCCTGGAACATACGCAGATTCTGGTAATTAGCATAGAGTCTGCCTGGGACCACAGCATTGATGAAATATTTCAGAGTTAATCACACTTTGTAAACACTGATTTATATTGACTACCTTTCTCCAGACTGATGTCTCCTCATTAAATACCACATTAGTGGATTGCAGGATTGTACAAAGACTCCACTACTAAGCAACTGCTAATTCAACAGGAAGTAATACCTAACTGCTTATAACTACTGAAAATTGGTTGAGTATGCACAACTAAAACAAAAAAAAAAGCTGTGCATTATAAAACTTGAGATAAGCCTAGCAAAATTGTTTGACTAAATTCGCATTCTAATTCAGGGCATTTATAATAATAAAAGCAACTACTTTTTAACATAAGAGGTTAAATCACAAGAGTAATATTAATTGCATCAAGAGAAGCACACACCATCACCTTCTTCAGAGATATTACTGATGCTATATTCAGAAAACCAAGGATAAGTCAAAGGAACCAGACTGGCTGGGTCATGTCTGAGAATAAAAGAATTTGGAATCTGAACTTTCGATGAACCATATTTCACTGCAGAGTTTCTTTAACCATCACTGAAAATTTATTTTGCAGCAGGAGAGTGTTGCTAGTAATTTCCTAGGGGTTAATTAGTATTCTACAACCAAATCCTTCCACTCCACATGGCTCTCCTCAAACTTATTTTATTTTTTTATTTTTCAGTGAGGAAGATTTGCCCTGAGCTAACGTCTGTGCCAATCTTGCTCTATTTGGTATGTGGGACGCTGCCACAGCATGGTTTGATGAGCGGTGTGTATGTCTGGGCCCAGGATCTGAACCCGCGAACCCTGGGCCACCAAAGCGGTGGGCACGAGCTTAATCACTAAGCCACTGGGCTGGCCCCTCCTTATACTTATTTAAAAAGAAACTCAGGTTTCTGCTTTCTTAGGAAGAGCTAAACAATGATGAGTTAGAAAGAAAAAAATGTTTTCCAAACAGCGTTTCTTTCCCTTTTTTGTTCCTGAAAAGTCCATAACGAAGTCATATCTTGTTCACTTTTTAGTATCAAGGCATGAGCACTAGTCCCACACTTTTAACCTAGTGCTGGAAACTTCTACTAGGATGACCCACCATCACACACATAAGATAATCATCTTTCCTTTCAAACTAGTTCCTCCTCCTCTTTGAAAATTATATCCTCACTCATCACAACAACGCACTTCTGACAGGAAGCTAAGTCAGTATGTGTGAGCCCACACCTGGACATGGCAGTTATCTCCTAACTGGGCGTTCTGTCTCCTCTAATCCATGCTGCATACCACTATCCTAGACCTCTTCCAATGACTGCTTTGATCGTGTCGCTGCCCTAATTAAAAAAAATAAAAAATCAATGGAATCCTATGGTTTCCTGAATTAAATATAAAACATTAGACTAGAAAACAAAATCCCCGCCCCAATCTAACTCTCACCTACTTTTCCAGCAATATTACAATCATTACGTTATATGAACTTTCAGAGGCAGCCAAGTCCATATATTCATTTTTTGCTGTGTCCTTCAGACTTCCCTCTGAGAATGATCTCTCTCTGACCCTCTTTCCTTCTTAAAATTACTTCCAAGGCTCAGTGTTCAACTCAAATTCCACTCAAATCTTGCATGAAAGCTTCTCAGACCATCCTAGCGGAAAATGATTTCTTGGTTCTCATATCTTTTCAGGAACCCCCATCATACACAGACATGCCAGATTTTGTTACCCTTTTCACATGCATATGACCCATTAGATGGTAAGATCCTGGAGGCAAGGACCATTTCTTATGCCATACAGAAATCCCCCACCAAAAAGTAGTATATATGTAAAATAATGCACTTAGAATTACTTAATATTTTCTTGATATCTCAAGGTCATTTTTATGAACATCAATTATGGTGCATTACTATTCTCGAGGTCGAGTGAGCTGGATGGCCCATTAGGAAGCAATATTAGGAACACTGGGAAAACCGCTCCACAAATTAAAAATAGTAGAAGAAAATCTAGTTAATTTTTGAAAATCTTGAAAGGTAGCTTTGACAAAAAAATGCATGGCAAAACAGGGAGCAATCATCAAGGGGAAAATGAGAAAAATACAAAGGCTTCTGGGGAGTAAAGTGTGAAAAGAAAAAAAAACTATAAGAGGCTTTAAAGGAAATAAAAGTGCATCTTGATATAAATAGGACAAGAATAAAAGAAAGAGAAAATATGAAAATACAGACAGATGGCACTAAAAGAGTTATTTAATTTTATCTTATTATAATACCTATTATTATTTACAAAATAGGTGGTCTAAGATTTGGAGCCACATTGGAGAAAATATTTAGGAGTCACTCAATAACAGTAGCTAAATCTATGAATGACCCTTCTATGAATGATTGAGTAAAGATTTTTAAATTTCTTCAAAAAACAGAAAGGAAATTGTCAAATTGCCACAGGAGAGTTTTAGAGCACATATAAAAAAGTACTCTAAGTTCCCTTTCTAACCATTACATTCCATAATTCTTCAATGACAAAGAGAAATGTAGAGGCAGAGAAATTTTTAATAGTGCCTTAGAATGAATCCTTGAGGGAGGAGCTCTGTCTTATTCATTTCTGAATTCTCAGTGCTCATCAAGGAGCCTGCAATTCTGTATCAGGCGCAGAGTTGAGATAGAAAGATGTAGTTTCTGTTCTTGAGGAGTCTATAATCTTACAGAGGAGACAAGACATGTAAACAAATAACAACACAACTTAGTGTGTGGTGCAGTGGTTCTGTATTCTGTAATACCATGAAGGTGCACACACACACATTCCCACAAACGCAAGGATTACCCTTAGGAAAGTCAGTGAATTCTTCACATAGGAGCAAAAGCTTGAATTATGCCAGGAACAATGAATAGATGACTATCTTGGGGTAAAGGAATCTTCCCAAAGCCATAGGACACACAACATTTTTGTAAAACTGTGAATGGATAGAAAATATAGTGGTCCTGATTGTTTTCATAAATGAGATCTTTTCAGCTAAGTGTATAGAAATTGTTTATGATGAATCAGGTATCTTTCAGCCAAATCTCCTCTTTCAATAAATTCATCTTGTATATGGATGATAACCTTGATTTCACTAAGTAACACTGGTTTATACCTTGAAAAACAAATCAACATCACTCTAAAGAACGTATTTGCTGGAGGGAAACCTCTCTAATTTCCAAGCCCTCCCATTGAGTTACCTAGTTCATCGTTGCTGGCTATGATCACCCGCCCAACAGTCTTTGATCCATGTTAGAGTCTACAAAGATTCTGCCCTTGAAAAACCTTCCCTGGTGCTTTTTCTAGTCAATAAAGGAAGCATTTTATCCTAAAAATGTGCTGCCCCAAACACCTGGGTAACAATGTTACATCTATTTTGGTAATGGCTCAAAGACGTTACTCCCAGTAGACCATATGATCTCTATGGGGCACTTGTTTTCCACTAATTCACGAAAAGTGAAAACTAGACAAAAATGTTTCCAGTAGCAACCGAGGTTACCTGGAATGTTAATGCTGGACAGTCATTCAGGAGGATGCAGAAGTTATTGTACACAGTCTAGGATCCTCATTTCAGACACGGAGTTTTCTTGGATTATAGCTTGTGATTTTCTGGGACACATTTGTTAGATGGCACCAGGGACTGAATTGGGCAGCTACTGATGACACGACTGGAATTTTCCCAGTTTTGTCAATAGCTGGGGAAGTGTGGTCTGTTGCAGAGGGAACCAAATCAACATGGAAGCTCTGGGTTTTTAAACTAGGCTGACAAGAATGATAGAGCAATTTATAATATCTCCTGGCGGCTTTTCAGAAAGTCCTGGGCTCTGATTACTTATTTCAGAGTCTTTTGTACAATTAGTTTGC